TTCCCAATGCTTTTTGACAGAGTATTTCTGTTTCTAGACAGAAACTGGAAAAGGGGAACATCTACAATTTACTCATCAGGAGAAAGTGGTGGTTGAATCTGTTCTCTCCTCCTCTGAAACACAGAACTGTATAGTCAACTTTTTAAAATTTAAGCCTTAAAAAAACATACATTCACTGTAGAAGAATGGCTGGAGTGGCTGAGAGTGCTGGATTGTTTCCATTTTCCTGCTGACTGATAGTTCCTGGTAATAGGTCTAGTGTGAATGATCTATCTTCCCTATATTAGGTTTTAACAAAGCATCTTCTCTGTTGTCTGCTGAAAACAGTCTCTTCTGAAACATGAAGTGAAATCATATGCCTTCCAAGCTTTCCTCTCTTTATGATTTTAATATGATATTTTCTTCATACTGAGGCATGACTTACACATTTTCCTTGGTTCTAAAAGTTTATTTTCTAACTGGGTCCATAAACCAAAGCATAAACAAATACATATTTTTGCCCTACCAGTAACAATTTAAAATTGAAATAAAAGATGGAGCTGAAAGGTGGGGTCAGTGCTAACCTACATTTTATTGAATCAGCAATTCTTTGCCAAGAAAACATAAGGGAATACATGTCCAAATATCATTCTGCTGATTTTTTTCTTCTTCCTGAACACCACACAGAGTATAAAAGATACCTATCTAACCATTATAATTTTTTCTTGGGAAACCCTGTTCCTACACCAGGTATAAAATTATCACCCAATTTCATGGAATCTGAAATTATTACTGTAAGCAGTTGAGAACTTTTTAATATATTTATATATATAAACTCGTTTATATATTATTCACTAGAATGATTGAACTGAAACTTTTTCGTATGCCAGAGCCTGTAAAACAGGCAGTTTAACAGAATCACTCAGAGGCAGCATTAACACCACATTTCAAACTACTAAATGTGACATATGTACCCATTAACACCCTTTCCAAGTAGAGAACATTTCATCTCATCAAGGGACCTACCAGCCAAAATAGGATTAACAGATGAAAATGAAATCAAACCACAACAATAGCTTTGCATAATAGGAAAATCTGTGCCCTGTTTCAGAGAAAGCAGCTCATATTAGAGATTTAAACTTTAATTTCATATTTCTATTCTTCATAGTTTAATGGCTGGGTAGCCCAGACATCACGATATTGCAGTCCATAAAAAGTGCCAAACACCTGATTAACTATGTAATGAGTTTACAGAAAAAGGGCTGGAGGGGGTGAAGGGCTATCTCCTTTCTTCCAGAGAGAGGCCAAATAAAGGTGCATAATGACCTTCAGTTAGGCTTTGTCTCTTCCATCTACTGAGGCCTGGAGTCTTTTCTCTAAAAATGTAAGGCTTTAAGAATCATATGTAATTGGCAGCAAGACCTTGCCTGTGACAAATATTTTTTAAATTTTTAAAGTTTTCTAAGAATTTCTAAGAGTTGCTTATTGGGTTGGTTGGGTTTTGGGGAGGGGTGGATGGGGTGTTGTTTAACAGCCAGGGAATAATTTGTGAAAACAAGAAAAGAAAACATTGCAAAGAAGCAATGAAACATAGCTCTTCCACACTCTGGATACTTAATATTCAAATGATGGAAATTGCCTTCAGCTGAGTTCCTATGCAGATAAACATTGTAGATTTCAGTAAAGCAAGACCTTGTAGCTTCAGGCACCTGTGTGATAGCAGATGACAATATCTAATCTTTGGACCCAAGTGAATCCATATGAAATGTTCAATGTTCAAATGCTACAGACCAAAGCACCTCCTACCAGAACTTTGATGTCAAAATCTGAGGACTAAATCATTTTCTCACATAGGCAGCTGTAGGCAGAAGCTCTGTAACTCAAAATTAACCTGCCCTAATACCATAATTAAAAGTAAAATTAAACCTAAAAATAATGCAATAGTTGCCTGTCCTTTATGTGGATATGAATCCAATTAACCAAGCAAGGTGGAAATTGTTCTGACACTTTCAGGACTTCACAGACCTTATGCAGACTAGTAAGACTAGAGGAGCAACACAGTGAACTCTGACTTTCTTGTTAAAGTTTCAAAGACAATGTTTGCATGTATTCAAAGAGAAAGGGCAAGACTGCAAGTGAGTGTGTAGACTAGTTTTTTGAACATAAGAGCATGGAAAAAGTTCTATCTTTCCACATAGAGTAGAAATATAACCATACTTATACTAACTCTCAGGGAAAATATTGCATGGCAGCAAGCATTGCCACTTCACAACTCCAAAGTTTCGTATATAACCATCAGAAACTTAGAGGTCTAGATGTATCTGTAAAAATCCCAACATGTAGAAAATGTGGGTGTCTCACAAGTCATGAGATGATCTCTGTATCCACATTCTGAATTTGTCACGAAACCAGCTGTAAATCTATCTGTGGACTTCATTTCTTGTCACAAAGTGACACTGTGATTCATTACTTTCATGGAGCAGACAGGAAAAAAAAAAGAAGAATAGCATTAAACTTTAGAATTTTCAAAATCCAGTCATGAAGCTAAACTTGGATCCATTATAACCATTCACCAAGTGAAGTGATCTTATGGAAAAAACATCGATATGGAAAATTATGTGAATTAGTGAAAACTGTAGAAAAACTAAAAATACAGCATACTGAATATGTAATCAGGATACAGCTGTTTCAAAAGAAACAGCTTTGGGTTGATTATAAATAGATGAAGCAAAACTTCTAATCCATTTCTAAAGGCTTAATTCAAGCTTTTCTGGATTGAACTAAATTCTAGGTTCTTACTGGTTTTAGAAATCCACCAGTAAAGATACAATAAATTACTTCAGACACTAGTTTTTACAGCAAAGTCAGTAAAAAAATAAAGCCTAGATATGAAAGATCCTTTCAGGCCACACATGTTATGGTGCAGATATATGCTGCACTAAGCAAATCCATGCCTAAGGGAAGGACTGAAGATTCTTTTCTGTGCTGGCACAATACTGTTTTGGCTTCTGGGGATTTTGCAGATGTGTTGATCTCCCATTTGTACTCACCTGTGTGGCATTTGTGATGCCATGGCACAAAAAAAAAAAAAAGGCAACAAAACAACCTAACCTAAAGAAACCCTCAAAATTCCAAACAGAAAACATCTGGAGACATACAGGTCATGCAAAGATGAGAACTGAGATAATGAATTAGTTTGGGACAGGCATAAGAGAGCCACAATTCAGACTGTTGAATACAGGTCAACTGGCAATAATATCCCATAATGGAGAGTTTGACCTCTCATCAAATATCATTCTTGCCCAGCATTTCTCAGCAGCGTTTTGCTGACATGTCACCACAGGCATGGGAATTCACTCACAGCCCCACCAGCTGAAAGTGTTAGAGCAACCACTGCACACAGCCATCCTGGCTGTCTCTCTGCAAAAACATGGTGACTTTCCCCCAGGTGAGATATTGAGAGTATCTGCTAATAACTATGATTTTATTTTTTTTCCTTTGTATTTACACCCAAGAAGGCAACCTATGATCAACGTATAAAATCATGGAATAGAGTTAAAGGATAATTTTATCTGAAAACAACACAGACTTATGTATTCCACTTCTGTTGTGGACAATAGTGGAAAAAGAAAATTGATAGAGCAGAAAAGATAAAAAAGTTATGTGACAGCTTGGTTTACCAGTGAAGATTCACTGTGGAGAATAAGAGTTCTGTCTAAAAGTTCACCCAATGATTGATGATAAAAGAATTGCCCCATTTATTGCTTCTAATTCAAATTACTCACCTGTTTTTGCATTATGTTTGAGGAGTTACACTCAGCTTCCTGGTCCCACATCAGGCAGCACGCAGCATTCTTCACCAAAAATATTATTCAGTTAGTCAGATATAAAAAATATTGATTGCCAGTTTAAAGAAAGATACTGTTGGGGCTCTGGCTCCTATTAAATTTCCAGTTAGATATTTGACTAATTTATTTTCAAAGAAGAATCTCTTTTTAGAGAAACGTACATAGGAGTTTCACACTTCAGCAAAATAACATAAAACCTTATTAAGACTTCATAGAAAACTAACTTTGCAAAACAGTATTTTCTATCTTCAGTATATATGCTCAGCAGGTTGAAATAGATGAAACATGACTATAGCAGATGTATTAGAGGACAATTAGGAAAAAAAAATCCCCAAATCTATATTAACATTCCCAGATAATTGTGTTATTCAATATGAGAATAGCTACTCTATTGTTCCTGTATTAATTACTATGTGTAATGTCACTGTGTCCTTTTTAATTTATATTTCTCAACTTGCTAAATGCCAAATACTGGATGATTTTTTCATGTAGTGCAGTAATGTCCAAAACACAAAATAAGGCAATTTGAAGCAAAAATAACATATGCTGTACTAATACCAAATGGTATTAAATTAGATTAAGGCATCTCCCATCAAAATAGGTTCATTAAAATTCTGTGCATGTAGTAAGAGACATCCAGATGGGTAGGAGCAGTTGAGAAATAAAATGCATAGCCGTGTTATGTCTGAAGAGGGGTGGGGATATTCTGTGTGACTATAGATTGTGTGCTTACACATCTTTGCAAACTCATCTCCTCAAAATCACCAAATGCAAAGAACATTTCACAAGGAATATGGGGAAGGCTCACTGGGGCTTTCATCTTTAGAAGATTATCATATGAAATGTTTCAGGTGAATAACTGTTTTTCTGTTACTTAATCAGAAAAGCAGTGTTAATCATTCTATCCCGTATTTTTTTCCTTCAGGTTGTTGATTTGAGCTATTAACATGACTGAAGAAAAAAAATATGGCAGTGTATCATTTTGTTTAGAACATTTTATTCTACGTGAAAACAAACTTCATGTGCAAAATATGATAAACCAATATTTGAATGTGAAATATAAAAGTGAAAGTGTTTGCAGCATGTGATTTTGATAAATTACATTTTTTATTAATGCCAGTGGTACTGATGTCTTACAAGTTTTTAGTAACCACATATTCCTGCCCTGTACAGCAAGGTCTACTAATCACCGACCTGCAGAAGGTTCTGTCTCCACTGGCTCATCAGCCAGTAGTTTTGGCAGTGGATACAGCATGGATAGCGAAGGCAGCAGCAGTGCCACGGGAGAGAATAATCTATTTCCCATCCCAAGAATGTAAGGCTTTCCTCTTAATATATTGTATCCTCCATGCACAATTCATAGCACTTTCACTTGCCAGTCATCTTCTTATGTAGTTTTTCTCTGTAGATTTATGCAGTAGAATAGCAGCTAACTGGGGAGAATTCGCCAGAATTCTCGCTTTTATTCACTTTGTTGAGCACTGAATTGTTAATAGCCAACCAAACCTCTGCCTCAACCTCGTGAATTTTTTCCTGTCATATAGGAGATGTGCTGGTCTCAGCCTTTGAAGAAAGTGTGTAGAGATGGGCTTGGCTTGTTTCAAAACTACAACTTTTGTAGTTTTGAGAAAGCTTAGTTTAAGTTTTCAGATTTTCCTCCGTCTGTAAAGAGATGTTACTAGTGCAAAGGGAATTTGTACTTTGGATACAGCCCAACTTTTCCAAAGTTTTTAGGAGTTTCAGTAGAATTTCTCAGTTCTTGGCTGGAAAAAGCTTTTTGGTGCAGAGTCTCTGTAGGAATTCTCAAGCTACTATCAGTGTAATGATCCTATAAAATGATTTAATTTTCCAAATTTTTTACCCAGTTAAGTACTCCACAGAGTAATGTTTTGCCAGGATTTTTTCACCTCCTCTGTCATCATGCACCATCATTTAGCAATTTAATTTATATTCCCTAATAGAACAAAGTAACTTCTGATCAACTTAATGATTCCGGCTTGAAAAAAATTTATAGATTGACTGCTCTCAAAGTATTAGTTGGTGATCATTGTTCATTCATTGTCTGCAGTATTTGTTCAATATTTTCTCTAGAACAAAACAGTTTTTGCTTTTCCCTTGAAGTTGTGAACTATTAGTCACAAAAGACATAAGCTTCCTAGAAAAAGGAAGTGAAAATTCTCTAGAACTGTGATATTTCTGAGTATTTATCATTTTCAAAATTAAATCCCAATGCTATTTATCTATATCTTGTTAGTAACTAAAGAGAAAATAGAGATAAATCTTAGACTTCAATCTTACCCCCAGAATCTAGGCAGATTATGTGAGTTTAGGTTGTAAGGTGTCAATTGTTTAATTTGCATTGGACTTTTCACTCATGTTGTTCTAGACTAAAAGGGGAAAAAAAAAGATTATCTTTGTCTTTGACAACATCGAAAGAAAAAGAAAAATATTGGGCTTTCATTCCTAGTGAGAAAAGCAAAGATGTATAAAATCTTTTTGCATAACACAAGATGGAGCTCTCAATAGAAATTTTCAGTTCACACATGCCAAATTTGAGTCCAAATAACATAATTTACTGTGTATTGACTAGCAATGTGACAGCGCCTACAGTTACTTGCTATTAGGCTGACAGACTCATTGGTCTCTTAAGCCTGAAATCAGCCCCACTTCTACTGAAAAGCAGGAGGAAGTCTCCACAGCTTCAGATTTTCTCTTATAGAAATTTGTTCTCATGATTTATACTTAAGTAAAATATATCCACGTCCAATTTTTTGTAAGGCTATACTATTTTTTTATAATGGCATTTTAAAATAAGTTATTTATATGCTGATATTAGAAAGAATCTTTAAAATTACACAGGAAATTTACGCAGACAGGACCTGCTTCATTTTTCATGTTAGTCTCCAAAGCTTTACATAGCAATGTAAGGAAAATGAACGACAAAATAACTGTTTACCATCAGATCATTCATGGAGAGAATATTTAAAATATATAACTGTTTCCATTTTGAATTCTGTATAAAAAATCTTATTTATCTGAATATATGTACAATTGAAATTCTACTCATCATTGGCATTCACACTGGCTTGATAGTGACTTCAGGAACTCTGACCTTGTACTCTAATTCAGCAAATCCAGAAGACCACAGCTTAAAATTTGGATGTGAAGTATTAAGTAGGCTAAATATTTTTAAGTATCTTGGCATTTTAAAATCTTTTTGGTTATAAGCTCTCTGTTTAGAATAAGTTTCTGGTCTATCAAAAGAAATTGTTGGATATGCTGAATTTTAAACTCTTTGTTTTAGTCCAAGTGCTTTTAACCATAGGAACAATTAGTCTTGGAGCAAAATAAAATAATTAAATAGTGACACCATGGGAATTGTTTGATGAGGTAACTAATTAGAATACTTACCAATATTAAGTAGCTATAACTATCAAGGGAAATTAATGATTTTATACAGTTACATTAATCTGAATAGATCTTGTAAATTCTTTCTAATTTTTATTTTTTTAAATACTCCTATTATCCATTTGTAATATTCCTGAAAGCTACTCATGTTCTTATCTCTGATAAAGACCAGATTCTCTATGCCTCTGTTTTGCACAACCTGTTATAGCAGTACATTGGCTGTAAAATAAAATTAATTTTGAATGCAAAGGTGAAAAACAATTAAATTATGTATAAGGAATATAACCCTTGGAATAAAATGATTCTTATATCATATTTGTAATGATTTACGAAGCATTATCTACAGAAGAAGAAAATAATAGCATTTAGTTAAAACTGAATATAAAATTACTTGGCAAACTGTGATTTTATACTGATTTTTTAGTTCCCTGTGAATTTAGACAACTTCAGACATGAAGTACCTGGCTCACAGGTAGAAAAGAACAGTGCAACTGAAGAGAATGCCTTATACTCTCTATCACAGGAATCAGTCTTAAGGCAAAAGGAAAACTAGAAGCACAAATGTTTGAGAGTGATTGTAATCATGCCTTAGAGCTTGCAACAAGTATATTTAAAGGTAGCTTATATTTTACCTAACTTTCATTGTATAAAAATAGACATCAAGATTCTAATGTAGGTTCTTTCTACATGAAATGCAGGAAAATAGAGAACTCCAGAGCATGATTCGTTCCACTCACTCAACTTTAAGATTAATGTTAAGTTTTCAAAATTGTTGCTTCTGCTAAATCTAACCTGCAAAGTAAAGCAATAATTTAAGAAAATAACAACCACAAGTATGTCTTACCTTTGAAGTAATGGTATCCAAATAGATATCAAATATCAATTTGTGTGACTGTTTATTATATATTTCCCTGATGAGTATAACAAGATCAAGTGAGAAGATGTGCAGCCCCAGACTGATGTGGGGCAGGTATCAGACAGCATGGACCTATTCTGTAAGAATTTACAGACTTAGCAGGATGTGATTGCAGCTGCCTTCAAAATAAAAAAAGATAATATCCTTAAAAGAACAAAGCCTTATTGGGTTAGGTGTATCATTGTTTTAGCTCTCATCTTTACATGGTTTTATTGACAACAACCACCATATCTTTTAACAGAGGGAAGATGAGCCAGAATGGACAAGAACCAATAAAGCAGTCGGGAGTAGGAGCAACTGATTCAGAAGGTAAAAAGAAATACAAACAGCTCTACAGTGATACCCCATGTTTGTAGGAAGGATGTGCCTATTTCTTTCACTTGTTATGCTATGAAAAATTAGTCTATGCTCTCTTTGTATTGTAGATTAAAATCCTGACCTTCATTTTCTCTGGGGGCCCTTTACACAGAACGCCAATGTAATGAGTTTTCAGTTTAAATGAGAATGGTGTCTTACCTGTTTATTTAAAGTAATTAAATAATTAGATTACAATGAACAATATATAATTATATCTGTCTTCTGATATTCATTGCTTTTCAAATAAAAAATACAAAGTATGGAGCTGACTCAATACTCAGTGGATTCGAAGAATATATCTAAGGCCTGTCAAGCTCTATTTTTATAATGTTTCAGAATATTTACTTCGTAAAGCAATCATTAATATCAGTGTTTACATAAAACATTAATTTTAAATAAAAATATTAGCTGAGAAGGCTTGACTGCTGCACTTAATGCAGATGCACTATAATGAATCTTTATTAGATTGGGAAGTCCTGACTGATTTTGTTTTGGTATTAATGTGGTGCTGAGAAAGAAGAAGACATTGTAATATTGGAACTGGAAAGTGCCTGACAGAATGACTTTCAAAATTTCTTAGGGAATGTGAATATCTTTTTCATGTGTAATAATGGAAAACCACATGGAAATGAAGAGTGGTTTGTACTGAAGGACACATTATGAAAATTTAATTTCCTTTTATATATAAGGCATATTCTTTCAAGTGTATGTTTATGTTGACCTCAAATATGAAACTTAATTATAATGACCTTCATTTTATTACTAAAATAAGAACTTTTGTCATTTAGATGCATTTCAATGCAACTTTGAATATCAATTAATTCATAAATTGAAATTTATACATACAATTGATAAATTGATCTGAAGTTTAGTCATTTGAAAAAATCAACATTTTTCAGATGTCTAGAATCTCTATACATGGGGAAATAATTGCTGTTTCCATATTTGAGGTAAAAACAGTCTAACATTCCACCGAGCTGAAGAAATCAAATTAGAATTTACAGGTAGATCTGTAAAGTTCTCTTTTCCATAGCAAGAATTCTTACCATGTATATGCATTTTACTAAATATTTCCATACATAGTATGCATTAAAAAAAAAAAAAAAAAGCCTAATAATCTGCATTATCAAATATCAAATATCAAATATCAAATATCAAATAGTTTTATACTCTTCCTATCAAAATTCAATTTCTCAATAGTATATTTAAGCATTTGAAAAAAAATCTGTTTTTTAAGGAGATACGGTGGGATGGAAATGGGAAGTTGGGAATGTTTCATTTTTATTTTGTCATGATGAGTTTTATACAGATTTATAATTGTAAAGAAATACCTTTTCATTATTTTGTTCATCATAAGTTGCCCTTTAGGTTATGTCTTGGATCCCAAATTTCAGAGCCTACAAACACAAAATATTTTCATTTCTTATTAGTATTATTAATTAACCTCAAAATCCAAACAAACCTAAATAATAAAAAACAAACAATATCCAAAACATTGTGAAAAACATGTATCTAATATTTGGTGTGAAATTACCTTTGCAAAGTTATCTTTCTCCTTGTCTTCAAATTTTGCATATAACTCAAGAGATGCAGTTCCCTAATTTTCACTTACAATACAATTCACCCCTGCTACCCTGGGAACCTGTAAGTGTTAACAGCTCCTAGTGTGATAAAACGACTGGTTCTTTTTTTGCCATTGAGAGAGGCTGGTGCAGTCAGCCTGGATTTTAGTGTTTGATTTCTAGCTGACTAAGAGGGGAGAGGTCAGTGTCAAAGGATAAATTAAACTAAAAGCTGGAAAACAATCCAAGAGCATTTGAGTTTCAGCACATAAATATAATTATCTTTTGGGAAAGTAGTTCAGAATTTAGGGGAACTCAAGATTAACTGAGAATTACTTCAGTACTACAGATTTATTGTGGCATTCTTTTTATAGATGAATAAAAGATAATGAAAATCTTAAAATCATGCCTTTTCTGTAGTTCACTTACCTGTGTTGTGGACCAGATGAGCTCTGAAATTAAGTGGGAGCAAATATTCATTACCACTTTACATTAACTGTAGAGATTTCCCATAGGTGGCATTTGTATTCTTATTTGCAAATTATGACTTAGAGTTACATTTAAAACTTTTTAATACTGGTACTCTTTTTAAAACATTTTCAGATATTCTTAAGGCATAACTTCTGTAAACAGTAGCCTTGGGTTAGTCTCTCTAAAATGGTGAAGAATAAATTCAGTTGATTGAACGTGCAGATCTATTGCTATGTGAAATGTTTCAGTCACCCAAGTTATTCACACAGGCTGACAAATGGACAAGGGACTTAGAGGATCTTTAAGATCAGTAGCTGCAGGCAAAGCAAGGTAGTCATTCTCAAGTGACAATGAGAACTGGTTTCTAGTGGCTGTATCAAAACTTTAGCAACAGGGTTTGAGTTGAGCTCATGGGGTAATGACAGCAAAATTTAGGCATTTACATAAGTGGAACCTCCAGGGGAAAAAAAAGGACATTTGTAATTGTTAGCCCAACATTAATTGTGTTTGTTGGCATTAGTTTTTGTGCTATTAACGTATATCAGTATCATTATAAGTAAATACTGGAAAACAGAAATATTTAATTTGCTGACATAACCAAATGGTCAATATAAACAACTGTGATTCTGTCTATGATAATCTTTGTTCCTCTGAATATATTATCTTCTCATATTCTGTATTTTTGTACTACTTAGTAATATATAAAAAAAATCAGAGTTTTGCTCTTGGACACTGTATTAGTTATGATATGCATTGTTGCATGCTATCTTACTCTGGGCATTCTGCCCTGAGAAGATGAAATATTTCATCTTCTTAAGCTTCAGTAAATCTTATTGTACATATTGTGATCTCCATTATGTTATGTAAGCCAACTTCTGTATTTGTTTCAGAAAGTGCAATATACCTTGTTCAAAGATTTCTTATGACATGGCTAGAGTATTACAGACATTATAAAAAGCCCAACTGAATCCATGTAAGGATTGAAATTAACAATTAAAAGTACATGATTAATATCTTGATTCAGTCGTAGATCATGATTGGTCTATCTGTCCTACGAAGTTGCTCAGCCAATAGGCTCCACATGGTATTTTCCACCTACCAACAATTTACCCATTTAAAAAATAGATGGGGAAAATTATTTCCATAAATTTTAAATGTGTGAATTTGCTAGGTAATCCTAAGATGCCATTATTTCTAGTAGAAGAGAGATATATAAATAGCTTTGTCTTGGAAATGTTGTATCTTCTCCTTTTGAAGATTCTCTATGCATGCAAAATATCATTCCTCAATCATTCCTCAATCCTCAAGCATTGAGATTCATCTCAAGCAAAGACTTTTTCAGGAGTATTTCAGGGTTTTTTGAGTGAATGAGTACTCACAGTGCTTCTGTCATCCTCTGTGGTTGGCCTTATTGTTGTGAGGATTCTCAGTCAGATAATGGTAATCTTTCTGTAGGAGCAGTGCATCACCTCATACACATCTTCTAAGAGAGTGGGGTTTTTTTTACCTTTCTTTAATTATTATTATTATTATTATTTTCCAGTCCATGAATACAAAAAATTTCTGTTCACTGTTCAGCCATGTCTTAAAGGTTCACTTTATGACCTTTCCAGTGGTCCTTTGAGCCTCATACTTTGAGTGTAATTAAACACACTTCTCTAAGTAAGAAACTGTCTCCCTCTACAGATGATTGAACCTGAAATTTTCAGAATGTTACAGAAAAGCCCCAATAGTTATATTTCCATAAGCCAAGAGAAGGAATAGATTTGTACTATTTCAAAATCTAAAGGTGCACACATACTTACTGAACTTCTACAAAATGAAATGATAGAGATATGCTCTCATTTCTCTCATTTAGTACAACTTTTAGTGGACTCTTGCAGGATTTTTCCTTTTTTTTTATGCTAGTAATTTGCCTAACTTATAGATTAAAGAGTAAAAAAAATCAAAAAGCAAACACAACAACAAGAAGCCCCAAACATGCTCTGTGATCATACTTTAACAGGCAAATGTTAGAGTACTGTGGGTTTAATTTAATCTATTCAGAGTAATCTAAGATTAAAAAAAAAAATTTTTTTTCTTAATTTTTGCGCTTTGTGGTTCATCAGCCAGAATTATAAACTAAGAGATTCAGTTTTAATAGTTTAATTTCTTATCTCTGTATTTTGATAATTAAGGCAGTATAATCCTTATTTATGAGAAAAAAAGTTTAAATACCACAAAAGACTTAAAACATGCTAGGGAGTCATTCTAATAAGATTCTGGAAAGGTGCATGACCCTCTGACTAGGAATCATTTGACTTGTAAATGTTCCTTTATAGCTTTCTGAACAGTCCTAGTGATATTTTCATCCATCCTTTCTGCACAGAATACACCCTGGAGCAAATTGTCTTGCAAACTGTTTCACACTGTCTCCTGAATAGGAGCATCCAGGAGTGATAAGTGGATTAGCTCTCTTGAGTAAAACAAGGCATGAAACAAACTGACAAAACAGGCACAGCTAACCAATGCCATATTCTTCAAAGTAATTAAAACTCAGGAAAAAAATTTCATTTTTACTTGTTCTTTAGCTAGGCTAGAATAACACTACTGAAACCACAGGAGTCACTGTACTATGACCAAGAACAGGCTAAGGGCTTGCTGCATCTCACACCTTAAAAAAATAGCATTTTGATTTCTTTTAAATCTGAAGGTTGAAATATCTGAAGTATGAAATTAGTCCTTATGAGGATGTTCAGAGAAAAATGCCCTAATATTGGACCTTCAACCAGAAAGTTATAAAAGGAGAAAAAAGACAGATAAAGAAAGTTATTAACAGATAATGATGATAAAGTTAGTGAGATTTGCAAATGCTTTTGTATATGCAAAAATCTATACTTTGATGTCTGGTTTATCCAGGCTAAAAATAGGAGGTTTACT